CACGTGTGGAGTATCTGGCAGACTTTCCTCAAGAGAGGTGTGTTACTTCTAAAAGCAGCTATCTGCTGCTCCACTGACCGAAGCTACATTCTCATATAAAAGCACGTATGCAGTAGCTAAGTCAATACATATCCTGAGCTCATCGGATTTGCGTTGTGTCTGTCATCCCCACCCAAGTTAATCAAGCAGTGGAGCAGCAAACCAGAAATCCACTGAAGGCTGAAACCAAGTGAGTGGTAAAATAAAATGAAGTTGGGGAAGGCGCTTTTCTCTCTTCCTTTTTTCTGTAAGCTGCTGTTTCATGTTTGTTTCTTCTCTTATGTCAAGCTTTGTCTGGCTTTTTTTGCTGCCGTAGAGTTTGCTGCTTGGGAAGGCTTTGGCACTGGAAATCACAACATCTGGAAACTGCCCCTGCCATGGGTCAAAGTGCAATCCACGAGGATGGGTGTGGAGGGGAAAAAAGCAACCAGTAACCTCAGCTCCCAACTGTCTTTCTGCATACCCACTCCCTAGTACTTTGCAGCCAGAATAAATAGCTCTCTTCTGCATGACGGACGCACAGCTCCATGCGGCGTGCTGGTCAATGAAATGCCGGCATTCAGAAAATGTTTATAACCTGTAAGTTCTCGGCTTCTCCAGTTCAGTGAGCTATCTTCTTGTTCCTACTCTAGAGGGGTTGAGTTAGCCATGCGCTGCTCTGTGCTGAAGGAAGAGGTTTCTAAACTCGCAGATACGGCAGAACCAACTTCCTGCCCAGTTGCTGTTTCTCTGCTACTTTTTTTCAGTGAGCACATCATACTCTGTGAGTTCAGAGAGAAATTTTGCATCACTTTAACTAACAAAGCATTCCCCTCATGGTTTGTACCATTCAGTATTTCACCTTTACATGCTGGATTTTTATCCTCATAGCTGTGCTGACAGCCTGGTTTTGGCTGAAGTGTAATGTCATCTAGACCTTACAAGAGGAAAAAGTCTTCAACAGATGTGTTTGTTGTGAAGAGAAGACACATCCGCACCATTAGTGCTGAGTGGGATCATAGGAAGAGGACAGCATGTTCCTCTGGCATCATTACAAGTTGCACAGGATTCCTTTTGATAAAGTAGGAATATTAGAAATTTAGTGGAATATGGGAAAATCACAGTGGTGCTCATCTTGTGGGTGAGTGCCAAGTACAGAGATGTGACTGCGCTATTTATAACTAGAGTTTATTCTGTTGGGACACCTGGATGGTAGATGTAAACTTGCAGTTTTTACCCTTTATTCCAATACACCACCCTGGGAAATAATAACTTCCTTTCTCATGAAGAAGAGAAAAACCAGCATCTGAAAGCACTGGTTTTACGTTCTTCCACAGATACCTTTTTATTTCAGGAACCTCAGTACTGCATGTGAGGGATTTATTGGTATCTTTCCACCATCCCAGTTTTGTACCTTGCCTGATGGACTGATGAGTTCTGCACTGAGGAAAATCTGAAGAAAAACAAATTCCACATTTCACAGTCGTGTACTACAGTGCATCCCCAAACCCCCATTTATAGAGCTGTTGATCCCTTCTGTTGCCTGTTTCACGGTGCTCCCCTGTCTCTCACTTCTGTAAAGGGATCTGCTGTACTCACCCACCTGTGCATCCTCATGTAGGCTGCACCTCCTGGGTGCTAAACATGGTAAATAAGGGCCCTGTTGGCTGCCCTGTTAACATAGTAACAAAGTGGTTACTTACATTATCGGATGTTTGTAAGGCCACAAGATATTTCGGTTGTAATTCTACTGTCCTTGCTTGATTGGATGTTGTGTCAAAAAGGACAAAAACAGTGGTGGTGTTTTTTCGTTTATTTTAGTTTGTTTTGGTGGTGGTGGGATTTTAAGCTAATTTCTAAAGCGTTTGAAAGAATGTTGTTGCTGCTGGTTCTGTGCATCTGAGTCTGAGCTAGTTCTTTTTTTTTTTTTTTTTGGGGGGCGGGGGAGAAGAGAAGAGAGCTTAGAATAGTTCTGTATGTGAACTTTTAAATGAGTTTCTAATATCAGTTGGGACCTGATTTTAATCATTTGTCTTGTTGCTTGAAGGTGTTTCTCTGACAGTGTAACATCATGGCAGAAATGAAAGCAAGATGAATGTTGTGGATTCTGCTTGTGCAGGCCTATAGAAGTAAGGCATTGTATATCATATGTAAAATGCCCTGCCATGGTCCTTTATACCTTTTTATACAATAAGTCTTCCACTGGAAGAAGATTCAGTGTCTGTAGAATATAGAATATATGTGGGCATAAATAAAATGGATATACTGCGTCCATAGTATGCTATGAAATTTCCCTTGTACTATAACCTTAGTATTCAAAGACACTTGTCTGCTCTTCAGTTTTTACATTGATACTTATTTTTCAAATTCTCATGGAGTATAAATATTTCTATACTTGATCTCTTGGTTTTTTTTTTTTTGTTTGTTTGCTTTTTTCTCTGCTGAGCTGTTTGTTTTGTTTTGTTTTTTAAAGTAGTAAATCATAATGATGGTGTTTTTGGCAAAGAGGGAAGAGGGTCTGGGCACCAATGATTGAACTTAGAGATTCTGATTAAGTGAAGGAAAAAGTGTTTGTATAATATCAGGTTTTCCTCCCTGGCATAGACTCTGAGAACTACTGCATTTGGTTTTGGTGATCTTCTCAAGTGATTTGTGTTTCCTGACTTTTTGTTCATGCTTCAAATAATTTCTAAAGATAGTATTTTTGGTATTCAGAATCACGATATAGGAGCGCAGAGCATTAGGGATGCTGCAGGTTTTGTGATAGGTGGGTGTGGGACAGCTACTGCAATTAAAGTGATGATTTCTTACATGTTTTCAAGTTCAGCCTTAGTGTAGGTGATGCAACGTCATCAGTGAATGCCAATAGTTTTTTACTGCAGTAAGTGCAATCACTTACGCAGTAAAATGATCTGGACTGATAGGCTGGACCCATGGGCTGAGGTTGACTGTCTGAAGTTCAACAAGGCCAGGTGCCGGGTCCTGCACCTGGGGCGCAATAACTCCAAGCAGAGCTACAGGCTGGGAGAGGAGTGGTTGGAGAGCTGCCAGGCAGAGAAGGACCTGGGAGTGAGGGTTGATAGTCGGCTGAATATGAGCCAGCAGTGTGCTCAGGTGGCCAAGAAGGCCAACAGCATCCTGGCTTGTATCAGAAACAGTGTGACCAGCAGGACTAGGGAAGTGATTGTCCCCCTGTACTCGGCTCTGGGGAGGCTGCACCTTGAGTACTGTGTTCAGTTTTGGGCCCCTCACTACAAGAAGGACATCGAGGTGCTCAAAAGAGTCCGTAGAAGGGCGACGAAGCTGGTGAGGGGCCTGGAGAACAAGTCCTACGAGGAGCGGCTGAGGGAGCTGGGATTGTTCAGCCTGGAGAAAAGGTGGCTTGGCGCGACCTTATCGTTCTCTACAGATACCTTAAAGGAGGCTGTAGCGAGGTGGGGGTTGGTCTGTTCTCCCACGTGCCTGGTGACAGGATGAGGGGGAATGGGCTAAAGTTGCACCAGGGGAGTTTTAGTTTGGATGTTATGAAGAACTTCTTTACCGAAAGGGTTGTTAGACATTGGGATGGGCTGCCCAGGGAAGTGGTGGAGTCACCATCCCTGGAGGTCTTTAAAAGACGTTTAGATGTAGAGCTTAGGGATATGGTTTAGGGGAGGACTTGTTAGTGTTAGGTCAGAGGTTGGACTCGATGATCTTGAGGTCTCTTCCAACCTAGACAATTCTGTGATTCTGTGAAAATGCAAATTCAGAAACAGATTTCCTTTACTATTACAGAGTGTTCCATGTCCGAATGCCTCATGGATTTCTGAAAGTAACCGAGAGCTCTCCTTGCTTCTGATCATAATAACAGAGGAGATGGAGTATGCTACCTGAACTGTTCTGCTTCCAACCAAAATCTCACTTTGGTTCATTAAAAAATAAATGTTTACATGCTTAAACTATCTAAATATTGTAAAAGGATTTGCAGTGTTTCTAGTGGCCCTCTGGTAGGCTACCTGTGACAGACCACAAGACCGTATGATGTTCGTCATACGTGCTTTGCTCAGATACCACGTCAGCACTGCGGGTGCCCAGCAGTTAGCTGCTTTGCTTTGTGCTTCTCGAATCAGGAGTAACGGGAGGCTTGGCACAGAAGATGTCCCAGCTCAGTGAGGTTTGGGCCTAGTGTGGCTGAGGACAGTGTTATCATCCAGAGAGAGCAGCAGCAGTCTTGTAGGCAGAGCACAAGGGATGCTGAGGAGGAGGAGGTGGTGGTGGTAGTCTTTGAGGAGAGCCCATGTAGGCTGTGGCATCTTTGACTTCATGCAGTGGCAAGCTCTTCTAACAAGAAACTTTTGAGTACTTACGTTGCTTTTGCTTCTAGGCAATGATTTTTAGCTTACCCTGTAATAGTCAATTCTAGCATTGTTGCTTCTGCCACCGTTGGCCATAACGTGAATCTCCTGGATGCTGCTGTGAGTGACAGATGTGTTACTGCATTTCTGTAATACGTGGGTCTTGCAGTTCCATTGAATGCCTTATCCCAGAGAACCAAGTGCTTCTATCTTTTCTCTCCAAGGTATGGTTTGTTATGTTAGGTTACCAAATAGCAACTTAACATCAAAAAGTCAATAGGATTTTGGAGCAATGCAGATCAGTTGCTGGCTTTTAATGTGTAGCTTTAAGAAATCAAATACTGCTTAGATACAGCTCTGTTAAATACTTATGCCATAGATTAAAGGCTTGAAAGTGAACATAATTTGTAGTAGATTTGATGAAACGAAAGTAATGGTTTTAAGATGGCTTGTTTCATGGAGTAACAAATGAAAGTGATACATCAGAGATCCATCATGAATCTTCTTTACTGTTAGTATGAAGATTTAACTATATTGTGCAATCATCACTACTGGTTAGAAAATCCATGGTGTTTTTATAGTTAACTCCTCATAAAAGTGCTAATTTGGCTGTAATTGCAATGGTGTGCTTTTTTTTCCTCCCCATAGGTGGCTTTTTTAATGCATTAGTACCATTTCCTGGCTGAAGATTAAAGATGAGAATAGCAGGTAAGCATGCATGCTGAAATCAGACTTTTGTCACCTGTGAAACAAGCTGTAGACAGCAGTAACAAGTTGTGATGATAATATAAGGTTTTAAAGTAAGCATAATTGGCAGAACAAGCATTGCTATTCTATTTAACCGGAACCTGTTTTGGAATTTGGGATAGTTTAAAAGCAAACAGCTGGTTACAACACTTCCTTCAGCTGATCTGCAGTGACAGTTTTCGATATCGTGATGTGATCTAACTTGGCTGCTAACTGTAAGATGATGAAGGAGCAAGGAAATGGTCAGTTGATGGCTTATGCAATTTCTTCTCTGCCCCACGCTGCAACCAAAAGTTCCATGCACTTCTACAACATAATGGCTTCCTGAATGGTGATGAGGAGGTCGAAAGCTATAAAAAGCCTTTAGTAGAGGTGTGTTACTTCAGTACAGTGTTTGAGAAGCTGATTTGACTTGACAGAAGGTACAGCTGTTATTAAAAAATAATACTATAAGAAAATATTATTTTAGACACTTTCTTGCAGTAGAATAGCCTGCTACATCTGTGTGGCAGTTGAGCAGGATTTGCGTTCTGATGCACTGCACTTTAATCAAAAGTGGTAGTGGTGGTTGTGTTGCAGAAGGATCACCTTTTGGCTTTCCTAGGAAACAGTGACATCCTCTTTTCCAAGAGGGTTGCATGTTAATGTTATTGATGAATTAAACTAGCCCTGATTTTTAAGGTTGTTGTTACTCAGTGTACTTACAGAATATCAGTAAGTATAACTGTGAGCAACCTGTTAAAGCAAAGCTGATAAAGAACTGGGAGAATGCTGTGATTTTTAGAAGACTGCCAAATCACCTGGAAGATGGTTGACTTTCCCCAACCTCTTTTTGTCTTCCAGCTAACTACTTTTGTCACTAAAACCTACAGAAAAAGTTATGACGGTTCATATAGAATGTTTAACCTGTAGCAAACAGGTTTGTTTTGGTTCAAATACTACACGAATATTCAAGGAGATTTCTTACCTCCCACTTAAAGGGAGCGCTTAAAATTCAGTTGGAAGGGTCAGACTATAGATGGAGAGGAAGGTTAATACTCATACCGAGTACTTGTTCATCTCGCCTACCATGTACTGAAACAGCATGCTTTTCAAGTACCACTCGCTATGTGACTCATTCCAAAATCTGGTACCATCTTGTCTTTTTGAGCAAATGTTGCTTTGAAGCCCTTTCTTTTCCACTTCTTAATTTATGTTCCAATCATCTGTTTCCCTTCAAATGCATTTATCTTTGGAGCTCCAGTGTAATGTTTTTAAATTAAGTTTCTATCTGTGTTTTCCAACATAGTAGTATGTATAAACTCACACATGTGAAATGGGAGAGGAAGTCCAAACTGCAAGCAAACAAAGTCTTTTTCTTATTCTGTCTTTTTTAGCCTTTGATTAACAACTTTAATCCTTCTGAAGGCTGAGTAATCTGTCTATTTTAAGCTTTTCTGAACAGCCTCATCTAAGATTGCAGGAGTGCATTTTTTTTTCTGAACAGTTTATTTGGATGGCCATCTGAGAAAAAGTGTGCCGTAGTATTGCTTCTTTCAAACAGTTTGACATACTGAGGTGAGACAGGAAGGTGAGATAAAGCAGACACTTCCTCACCTAACATCTCTGACAGTCATTAATTTACAAGAATCTAAGATTTTTTTTTAAATATATTGAAAATGATGTTAGAAAATGGCAGGGTTCCATTTCAGATTTAAATCGCTGTGGTTGTATTCTTCCAGCTATTTTTCTTGGAGGTGGCTTGACTGTTCAGCACTGGAGTAAGTTAAGCTTGTTAAAATTTCAAGCCATCTGAGACCATAACATATTAAAAGGGGCAGGGGTGAGGAACTGCTTTTTATTACTTTTTAAATTAGATCGTTAAAGTTTTCTAACTCTTGTCGAAGGCCTGTAATTTTTTTTTATTATTATTTTTACGTAATGCTCAGGCCTGACTGACCAAGGGAGACAAGCTATGTTATATCAGCAGATCCCTAATCCCTCACTCTGGTTTATCTGTTAAAACTGAGGTATCTCAATGTGAGGGGGGAAAAAAGAAAGGGAGTATTCATGAACAGTGAGAAGCAAACACAGGGCTAAGAACAGGGAAGTGGGATGGAGAGGGCAGGGCTTTCCACTTGGACAGCAGCCAATAAAATCAGCTAAGTTCATCTTGTTAAGCTGGGTTTCCACAGAGAAGTATGTGGTTTCTCCTGGTTGCTGAGGCGTGTTGGTAAACCGTGATGTCAGAGAGGCGTGAAGATTGGAGAAAGAGCAAGGAGAGTTTTCATGGCTGAGAGCAGGGTTCATCTGATGTAGCAACCTGGTGAAGTGGCTCAGTTGCATCTTACATCATGATGTTGTTTTTTGTGCAGATTACTGTTTGGTGAGTCCACAGTTCCTCATTGTGTTTCTGAATTCCTCTTGATGTCACACTATACAAATTTCACATGTAGTTGATTCTGATAAACTTATTATTGTCATTTACAGATAATTTTTTTAAAAACTGTTTTTTTCTCCACTTCTGAATAGGTGCTGCGAAGTTGGTGGTAGTTGTAGCAATATTTTTATTGACGTTTTATGTCATATCTCAAGTGTTGGAAATAAAAATGGAAGCAAACTTAGGACACATATTTGGTAAGTGATAATTCCCTGTTTACTGCTACCATCTGTTAATAGTTATTTGAGCTGTAATCAAGAATAGCATATTCTTTTACTGTAGGCTTGAATTAAGCTCTTATGAATTTTGAGTATTTTAATACTATTGTCCATATGAACTTAACCTACTTCATTAATCAGTTTGATTCTCTCACCTTCCAAGTATGCACACATTTTCACCCTTTTTTTTTTTTCTTGCTGGTAATTACAGTCACAGTCTGCGTTTGTAAACTGTGACTTGAATGATATCTCGGGAACTCTGTACTCTGCCTTTCTGTTGCTTATGCACTTCAAAATTCTGTGCTTTGGGTGGGATTTTTTTTTTGTTTGTGTAGTTACACTGCCATGCACAATAATCAAAACATTTCAGATGTGCTGAGTTCTGTGCAGAAAATAATTACCAGCTTAGATGATGTAAAATTAAGGGTATTTGTTTTGAACCAAATCTTGAAAGGGACTTTTCAGTTTGGGCACATGGATAGGGTTCATGCTGTTTAACTCGGCTTACTGCAGTGTGGGCATACATCTGAACCGGTCACCAGTGGCATCATTAATAATTACTGAAGAGAGGTGTCATTACGTATTACAGATGAACTGTAGATATGTGTGCTGTCCTTTCCCATCCTGAGAAAGGGAGTCATGAAAGATAGGGTTCAAATACACCTAAACTGCAGAATTGCAGGGTTGAATGAAAGGAATCACATCCTTGTGAAGGTCCTGATTTGTAGCACTTATTTTGACTGGCTCAAATCCTGTTCATAAGACAGGAATTATTTTCACTTCAGCACCCACCCTCCACAGATCCCTGGTTGTTCTGAGTTTTTATCTCTATGTTTTTTTATTTTAATCAGCAATCCATAAGTTAAGATAGTTCTTCTAAACGTGTTCCCTGACTATTTTCATTTTTCTACCATGTAAAGATTAATGTCTTTTATATTGTAACATAGTGTTCATATGTATTTGATACTTCATTTCAACCAATCTATTTTTATAGAAGCATTGAAAGGTTTTAAATTTATAGGATATTTTATAGCAGATGATATTTTAATAGTAACATCTTGTAAAACTTTCTTTTGCATTTCAGCTAGATCAGCATTGGATGCAGCTGCACGCTGTGAGTATTCATGTGCATGTGTTACTGCTGTGACTTGCTTTCACTAATAGTAGAAAGAATGTTGAATTTTCCGTTTGGAAAGTCTTAATTACACTTCAAATGCAATCAGAAAGTAATTTTCCTCTTTCCCTGATTTTCCTAAATTCCTGATTTTCTCTAAAATTCTGTTTTATTTTCTTTTGAAAGCCACAAAACCTCCAAGATACAAATGTGGGATCTCTAAAGCTTGTCCTGAAAAGCATTTTGCGTTCAAAATGGCAAGTGGAGCAGCAAATGTAGTTGGACCTAAAATTTGTGTAGAAGATAATGTGTAAGTATTTTTACCTGTTGTCTTAAAATACCTCTTTCAACCTTTGCCTTGGATTGCTCTGCGCACAAAATCGTTAATTTAAGTGATTCTTTGCAGATCTTGTTTTGCCTACAGTATGACCACATGAAAAAATTAAGTTATAATGAAGTATAATCTCTGATGAAACACATTTAATACTCTGCAGTAAATGCTGAAATATATGCAATTTTAATACATGCAAGATAGCTAACCATTTATTTTAGGTTTAGAGACTGTTGGAGTAGTGAGACTTCACGCAGTCAGATACAGTGTTGCCTCCAAGTAACTTGTTCTTGTGTCTGTAATTGTAATTCAGTGCACAACTGTCTTTTTAAGTAATTACTCTTTGTACTTCTAATTGAATGTAATCAGCTAAAACTGCTGTGGATTGTCTTTTGCAAGTCATCTTTTAAATTATCTGTTTATGTTGTACCGGAGACAGAACATATTTTCAACTTTTCTTTACCACATTTCTTCAAAAGGAAAAAGTGTTTTAAAGATTGGTAGTTAGTTACCATCAGCACTATTAATTAAACTGAAAAATTGAACTGTGAAATGATTTGGAATCATTTACGATCTTGAAGGTCTTTTTCAACCTCTAATCCAACCATCAACCTGAACAATCAAGCCCATCACTAAACCATGTACTGTAGTGCCATATTCACATTTCTCTTAAGTACCTCCAGGGATGGGAAGTCTGCCACTTCTGTGGACATCCCATTCTAATGCTTGACAACCCTTTCCCTGAAGAAATTCTTTCTAACATCTAATCCAAACCTCCTCTGGTGGAACTTGTGACTGTTTCCTTGTATTTTATTGCTTGTCACCTGAAAAAAAGACAGACATCCTCCTCACTACAGCCTCCTTTCAAGTAGTTGCAGGGAGTGATGAGGTCTCCCCTTGGCCTCCTCTTCTCCAGACTAAAGAATCACAGTTCCCTCAGCCCACTCCTCATAAGTCTTTGCTTTCTACTTCCTTCACCAGCTTTGTTGTTCTGTGCACAAACTTAAACAACTCAATATCCTTCTTGTGTTCTGCGTTGGGCCACTCACTACAGTACTCAAGATATGATCTCACCAGAGCTAAGTCACTTCCCTGGTCCTGCTGGCACTTTCTGATGCAGGCCAGCATGCTGTTGGCCTTGGTTGGGCATGCTGCTGGCCCATGTTCAGCTGGCTGTCGAGCAGTGCTCCCAGGTCCTACTCTGCCAGGCAACTTTCCAGTCACTCTTCCCCAAGCCTGTTCCACTGCATGGGGTTGTTGTGCCCCAGGTGCAGGACCTGGCACTTAGCCTTGTTGAAGAAAGGAACTGTTTGAAAAATTATTCAAGCCCTGTATTTCTAATAACAGTATTTTCAACACAGTAATGTTAACAATATTATGTCTAGAGTATTTAACTGAATAACTTTGGGTAATCCTTATAACTAGAATATTAATGTTTATTTTTAGACTCTGTTTCTTTGCTCTTAGGTTGCTACTGCTCATTGTCACCCACAGCATGCCATTTTGTATGATATAATCTATCCACTCAATTTTGAATGACGTGGCAGCAAAGACATGCTGTTAGCATTGTCAGAAGTAATAAATACATTTTTTTTAATAATCAGCCTTTGCCTTCCATCTACATTTAAACTACCCCAGTTTAGCTGTTTCGCAGCCCATGCTATGTAAGTACAGGGTGGTACAGATAGCACATACAGCAGTCAGCACTAATTCTAGAGCAAATGGCAACATTTCTGTGAACAGCAAAACTCATAAATAGGATAAGCGATCAGTTACTGTTTAGGTCTGTAAAATCTGTAAGTACTGGATTATATTTTCCATCACTTTATTCTCTAATTAAAATAAAATGAAAAAAATATTTTTATGTGATCTAAAAACTATTTCTAGCTGCTTGGTTCTCTTCATTCGTAGCATTCATTCCTTTTACAGCCTTGGAAAATCTTATCCAGTCTCCCTGCAGAGAGATTTTTTTGTTCATGTTCCAAAATTTGCCAGCATCTCAGCCTGGTTGCTAGGAAGCTTAATATCTGCAAAGATTTAGGGTGATTCACTGATGAAAAGTTATGAGACTGCAAGTAATATTTTAACATTAGGACTGTAGGCTTTTTAAGTGTCTTGCTTACTGGTTAACTAAGGAGAGATTTTTTTGGGGAGACATGAACAACAATATGAATATTTCATTTAAGCAAGTGATGAAAAATAGTGACCTGTCAAGAAATCCTCTATTCTTTTAATATTGGTGTACAACTTACTGCATAACTATTGGGGTCTTAAGTTCTGTTTCAATTGGCAAAAAGCTTTGCTAGTTCCTTCTGAGGAGGATTTTTAAAGTCTATTGAAGTGTCCGTCAGCAGGATTGATTAATTTTATATTATCTTCTCCTTTGTTCATAATACATTTGACTTCTCGTTCAAAAGCTGACATCATTTCTTGATTGTGAGTTTTCGGAAGAATTCTAAAACTGGTAAACTACTGCCCTCCTGTGAGAAAGCATTCACATTACACCCACTAGTATTTGTGACAGCACACAAGCCATCTCAGGTGTGTAAAGCAGTGTCTCAGAACTGTGAAGGGACTTACTTTATTTTTAGTAGCTCTTTTTGTAGTGATGTTTTTGACAATCCTGCAAAACGCCATTTTCTGGTTAAGTCGGGATTGCTGAATTTTTCTTGATAGTCTTCCTTGTGCTTCCAAGACACAGAAGCAGGAACAAGGTTTCATAAATTGTTTGTAATGTTTACAGCATAAGCTTTTGCTCTGTATTAAACAAGGGTGTCATTTAGTTTGACAGTAGTGAAACTGCTAGTGTAATTGGGAGTGCGTTTAAGTGCTCAGTGTTTCCTTTTTATTGTATAGATATTTTGGACTGTGGTGGGAGCTCTGCTCTGTAGATGTTCAGTTATGGTCTTGCTTTTCTGTATTGGAAGGGCATAATCCAAACTAAAAAATAATATACTGCAGTCATTGTCAAAATATTAAATATTGTGGTTGCTATGTGATGGGTTTAAAAGGAGCAATAGAGTTATACCTCTTTACTATCAACATGCAGTTTTTCTTCTGTAAAGAAGCCAGTTCCATGTTTGTGCCACAGTAACCATATAGCAGGATCTTACAGCATCCACCTTTAATAATTATTTTATTTCTGGTATTCATATTTGCAGGATTTTTTGGTATCTGAAGTCCATCATAGCTGTTAGGTGTGTGTGGTTTTTCAGTGCCTAATTAACCCAGTATTGGAAGTTTTTTGACTTCAGTTTATTTACTGAGAATCGTAGTTAAAAACTAAACTAAGTTCTTAATCTTTTTAGTAAATTAAAGTCCATCTTCTATGACCAAAGGAATGCATTCAGAACTTCATTGGTTTTGTTTTATTTCTTTTCAGTCTATTTGCCATATGTTTCTGTTGCTTAGAATTGATGCCTAGACATGATGTGAAAATGATGTGATCACAGAAGTAATGGACTTCCAGCGGCTAAAATGCTTCTGTAACTCCCTACTGACCAAAACTGAATTCCATATTTTAGAAGAAAATTACAAGTCCTCTTCTAATCACAAATGTTTGGCAGATGATATGTTAGAGGGCTGACAAAAGAATATGGTATCTTTCATCTCCGATTACTACTGCTATAAAACTGAAGCCACCATACAAAGAGTTGCCATTAGCTAGTGGGCATTCACTGCCTCTCTGAAATCGCTGATACTGAGTCTGTCCCAGATATGGTGTTGTCTGTATGAATTTGATCTAAATTTTGGCTTGTATCTTCATCCTAAGTGCAACGGACACCATCAGAGAGGAAGGTTCTATCATCATCTTTGTAACAGAGCATTTCTTGTTGCTAGCTCATGAGTAAAGAATTAGAATGGGGTGAGTAACAAATTAGTATGGGATGAGTAATGAATTAGTATGGGATGTTGCAGTGGTGTGTGCAAGCATGCAGTCCTTGTGAAACATTGAATAGTTGCTCAGACATGACCTGAAAATCATGTGGCCACAAAAGAAGTTACCTGATAAAAGTTTTGAAGATAGAAGGGTTGTACAAGCTTGCCAGCCCCTTCTTAGAGCAAGCTAGGGAAGTCAAAGCAGCCCTGGTCAGGAAGGAATTAACACATTTATTAGAGTGTGTTTGGAATTGATGAGATATGCTCCAGTATGCTTATGCTGAAATGCTTTCTTAAATCTGAGCTGAAGATTTCTTAACTGTCCTCATAGGGTTTTAACCCTTATTCCTGTTTCTCCTTGCTTATGTTAATGCTTTTAGTCCTAGCTTCAAAGTGGAACTGCTGGAATATTTAGGGCCTGTAGGTAGAACGGAGATCTTCATACAGTGCCAGTGAAAAATAATGAGATCATCTGTGAGCTTCCTCTCACTGGAGTGGTACCCTCACCATGGCCCAAGGCACCGTAGCTAACAGTCTTAACATTCCCATTAGCTCTTCTTTACAGCTCTGAACAGCTGCCATTTCACAGTGTCTCTGTACTTTCTGAGCTCCTTTTCTGCTCTGAGTTTGGCCAAGTAATTGTTGTCGTAGACTGTGGTGGTTTTGTTGGGATGTCTAATGGTACTCCAAGATTATAGTCACTTTTTGTTTAAAGTCCCATCAATATATTGACTATTTCCCTTGGACTTAGTTACTTCTGTCTGTCATAGGAAACCTGTCTACACTGACTTTCTTGTTTAGTATTGTGATGCTGCAGTATTCATTTTAAATACTTTGGTTCAGTTAACTTTTAAACTCATTAACGATTTTGTTCATCCTATGCTTAAAAAAAGTATAAAATGTTGGTTACGTGACTGTGCTAAGCCCCTCAAATTGTTCTTCATGTTTCAGGCTCCTTAACTTCAAGGAATTTCCTTAACTGCACTGATAGCACTTTACTTTTGTTGGCATTTTTAATACACACATACTTTGAGCATTTAATCATCTTTTTTTTCAAGCTAAGTGGGTACAATTAGGGACATTAGATCTATCATTCTCAGTTCAGTGGTTCCGTAAAGGCACGTAGGAGACTTCGCTTCATTTAAGTACTCATGGGCACATGGTCTTTAAGATACACATCTTATGATTTAATCGTTCCTATTTAAAATTGAAATACTACATATCAGAAGATTGTCCTATTACAAATTAAATTGTTTATTTTGTTTCAGTTTAATGAGTGGAGTTAAAAATAATGTTGGCAGAGGAATAAATGTGGCCTTGGTCAATGGTAAGTGATGTTTAAGTGAGCAGTGTCTTCATTTTAAAATTCTTCCTGAAATTTAAGGCCCTGTTAAGGGATGATGAAGTACAAAGAGGAGGATAAGAGGCAGTATTCAGCATACGTACACCGAGATAACGTCAAATTTTGGTACTTACATGTTTTTGTTAGTATACAGTTTGAAAGTAGAAAAACTTAGAGCATTTTTGTTTCTGGAAATGTGTGATAATGCAGAGTTCCATTGTCATTATTTTAGCGATACATCAGATAACTTTCTAATGGTGTGTCTCTTGAATTTGTATATTGCCACCACTAATAAAATTCTGTACACCAAATTCTTCTCATACTGTTTTCAGTGAAACCTATTTAACAGTGTTACTACATGAAAAAGACAGTTCATTATTTCCTAGTTTGAAATCAGTATATTCTATTACTCCATATATAGAGATCTTGTCCCCAAATACATCCATGTTATATATTCAGGATTCTTAACTTCCATTAATAAATTTACCTGTGTGTCAGCTTGAAAGCTAAACTGAACGTCAGTACTGACAATTTTGTCCTTTATATGTAGGAAGCAATTTCTTGTAGCAGCGAGATAGTACTTTGTCAGTTCACAGCAATATAAATTCATATTATTTTTGGATCGTACTCAGGTTTATATCACCTAACACATGATTTGAACAATACTCACTTAATCCTATTTTGCCCTCCTAAATTGTCTCAGTCTGTTCAAAAACAAACCTCCCAGTTCCATATTATATAGCTGCCAGTCTTTCTCCTTGTCTTACAGATTTTATGTGATGTATCTATTAAAAACAAAACTCTACATTCCATCAAATACTGACGTTGTAGACAGCGCAGTAAAAATGGTGATGAACATACAATACCCACTTTCTTCTCTGTTTATTCTAAAAGTTTACATGGGCTAAGAAATTCCAGTTTGTAGCAGAACATGCAGTGTAATTTTGATCTTTATTGCTTCCTATGTGGTACTAAAAGCAAACTATAACTGTACTCTTTTTTTGCAAAAAGAACCTTTTTTTTTTTAAAAAAAAAAAAAAGCTAAGTGCATTTTCTTTATTGCTCTTTCTTGAGGGTGTTCTGTGTTGTTTTTTTTATGTTTAACTTAATGTAAAATCAGTTTGCATCTTCTATCTTTTCTTTCCCCCCTCTTAGCTTTTCACAAATGGCTGTAGTGTTTAAGGAGAAATCTTCATGAAAGATAGAAGTACTTGATTTATAGAGTGTCTTCAGCACTTTTTCTGACAGTCATTAAGAGGAATTGGGCATGTTGTCTGTGAAGTACCTTTGGCTATTTCATTAAACCACGTATTTCTTTTTCTTCAGGTAAAACAGGAGAACCATTAGACACTAAATTCTTTGATATGTGGGGAGGAGGTAAGTGCAGTTATCCTAGCTGGTTAGAGAGAAGCAACCTGACTGTGTGCATGTGCTTGTGTGTGCCCCCTCTAGGCTCCGTTTGCTGTGGTGGTTTAAGCTTGACCTCAGCCTTTATAATTGTGAGGAGAATGCCACTTTAGAGAAACACAAAGGGGGATGGGGAGAGAGAAGAGGAGAATGGTGCATTTAATCACACCTGCTCATTCTCCTGAGTAGTTCCCACTAGCAGGTATGTCTTTACACAGTATAGATGAAACCCTTTATATAAAATGAGAGTTCTTCCTTGTGCATTTTATCTTTCTCACACTTACGATCTTGTTATAAATGTACAATTATAAATAATAATAATTATTAATTTAGCAATGTCTAAATTAAATAGATGTTGCAGGTTATTATAATATATCTAATGATTGGTGCTTATGTGAGTTTTTTTTGTGTTCTCTTTCCAGATGTGGCACCATTTATTGAATTTCTTAAGTCCATCCAGGATGGAACCATAGTGTTAATGGGAACATATGATGATGGTGCAACCAAGTATGTCATAGATTTATGCAGTTAATATTGCTTAACATTTTAAATGCTGTTTTGTACCTGGAAAAAAAAAAAAAAAAGAAAAAGAAAAAACAAGCATTCTTCATCACACAACCACTTCTGATAAAGCTTTGTTCTTGCAAGATATGGGATTGTAAACTATGTTTTCAGCTGATTCATTTAATGATCCCAATGTGATATTTACATAGATTTATTTCTATACTTTCATGATCCCTAACAACAGAGAAACAATAAACTATAAAATTAGGCATATTAGCAGAAATATCCCAAGCGTTTTCTGCAAATCATAAATGCTGATTTTTTTTTTTTAACCCCTCAGAGAAAAGGTGTTGATGCTAACAAGAAGACAGTGTAGGGCAAATGGGACATGGCTATGAGAACACACCCTCTGATATGGAAATTGGTCTGTTTCATCCAGCACTTTTATCAGAACAACTCCAGGACAGAGTGTGGTAGTTAAAAATGTTCACAGACCATTGCTACAAAGTCTACATGTACCCTTCCTGTTTTGAGGTCTGAGATTTTACTGGTGTGAGCCTCATGCTTGTTGGCCTCAAAGTTTGGAACTGTTCAACTATCAAGCTTTTCAATTTAGACAATAGACATATCATAAGAGGTTTTAGTACTCTTTCAGCAGTATCTTCCAACCTTCTCAGCTTTGATCTTCTGGAATAGGTAGTAAAATTACTGTAGAAATTTGTATTGGGGTTACAATACAGATCTAAAGAATAGATTTATTCCATACTTAAGTCATACTGTCAAAAGGATTACTTTTTGTAGTGAAAAATGATTTTTTTTTTTTCTTTTCCTCCTGTTTTAGACTTATTTAACTTTTTAATGGGTTCTGTACGTTCTTTTTCCTCTTTTGATGCAATTTGTTATCCACAACTTATTTCTGCTGTAGGAGTAGCTTTCTGATGACAAAATCCTGACTTTGAAATGAGCGGTATTTGCAGTAAATGGTGGAAAGGGTCTGTAGATTCACTACTTTGGGAAGAAGAAAACTATTTAATGTTTCTTTATCACAAGGCTGGATCTCCAACTATTGTTGTTCTTTAATATTTAGATAAGTACAGTAAGTTTGTTTCAATAATCGTAGTCTCAGCTGGTGTTTTTTCAAAGCTAAAAAGGAAGACCCATTCTTCCTGATAGCCAGGAAGTACTCGTTAGTAATATTGCAAAAATAGCCCAAACCATGCCATTGAAACTTGATATTAATCATAAATGACAGTGCTTGGAAGTAACTAAAAATGTGAAGAACAATCATGTTTAAAAGATTTAAAAAAAAAAAAAAAAAAAGTGAGGTTGTGGATTTTATTTAAGTATAAGCTGCACCAATGCTGTGGAAACTTGAAGCGTGGGTGGTACAAATAACCTCCAAAGTAAATTAAGTAATCATTTTTTTTATCATTTTTGTTAAGGTGAGTCACACAACTATATCTCAGTAAGTAGTAATAATCAGAAGTTGTGTGTGATGTTTGGTAATCGGGCAAATATAGTAACTGGTAGGAAGAAATAAAGAGCTGCTGTTTAGAGGTTTTGTCTCCTACAGAATAATTTTATCTTCTGTATTATCCTACATAGACTTACAGGCACTGAACCATGCTGTGGGGTAGCATTCTGAATTTTAAATTATTTGCCTTGAGCAAACAAGAACTTCTTTTGTGTATTTAGGTCATTCTTTTAACCTAAGAGAGCTTGTGTTTTATCTAGGCTTCAACTTAAGTCTGCAAAACAGTGTTTACTTTAAAGGTTGACTTTTTTTAGCTGCCGAGAGAATTGCTAAAATTCCTTGAGTTGTGTGTATAAATTTTGAAAATATAGGGTTCTTGGCTTTTGTTGGTGTACTGATAGGTTTGTGTGCTGGTTGCTTGAGATAATAATATCAAAGAGCAGAGCTCATAAGATCAGCTTATTTCAAAACTATCGTTATCTGATTTTAAAAGATAGACCTTTCCCGGTGTTGGCTTACTTAAACTATATTTAACCAGATTGAAGCTAAATGGTGCATTGAACAGTGAAAGCTCTGAGAATGTGTATTTTTATTTACATATTGAATTTCTCTGTTTTGCTCAAGGCTTAATGAGGAAGCACGGAAACTGATTGCTGAATTGGGAAGCACGTCCATCACTAACCTTGGCTTTAGAGACAACTGGGTCTTCTGTGGTGGAAAAGGAATTAAAACTAAAAGTCCATTTGAACAGGTCTGTTATTCTATAACTTAGTGGAATTCAACAGCCTACATTAATAAAGGCTTAGAATGTTTTATAAATGCCTTGAGTTTGTTCAAATTAGATATTGCAGTAGTGGCACACAGTGTTATTTTCAAATTTGTTCCTTGATTAGTCTCCCCCTTTTAAATGTGCAGAATAATTCCATCATGATTCACAAATAAGAAGAAAAAAAATCATCTGTGGGTGGGTTTTAGTAACCCAATAACTAGATTAATTCATTTTGATGGATTCAATTAAACTGATAATTCAAAATTTACTGCATAACATTCATTTTTAGACCTGCTAACCTCTGACAGATTAGTTGTAGTTAAGGTGTTCGTGTTCTCACCTGTTCACTTTGCTCTTCTGTCAGAAATTACTGCTGCCTAGGAAAACTTGTGAAACTAAACATATCCACATACTTTAATAGCTGCAATTCAACATATGTCATTGCTGCCTTTAATTACCAGTAAAGGTAGCTTTGTACTTGGAGAGCAAGCCTGTTTTCTTTTTTGCCAACTTTCAAGGGAGTGGGAACTAGTGTAGGAGCAATGGCAAACTCTTGGAGGCAGTAATGTCTTACCTGGCAGCAGATGATTGCTTCTTGGAAAAGCCTTAATTTAAAATAAATAAATAAATAAAATTCAGCCTCATGTAGTTTTCATAAAATCTGCCCTGTAAGTTTAGTGTTCTTATTTAACTTAAACCTAGTGGTTTATGTTTTCTTGGCAGTTGATCTTTTCCTTGCTTGTTTCTCTTGCTGAATAAACATCCATGATAAATTTTAAAAATGTTTTCACTAGTCAGATTCACCTGTTTTTAGCATATACTTGTCTGAACAAGCAACTTTCAACTTTCAGTGGAGAGTACTGAGAGGCTGTTGTATTTGATGATACTTAAGCACAAGAGGTTAATACTAACATCATCTCTTTGTCTGTTTCCTGAAAATAATTACAAAGAAGTGTCTTTTAAAGCCATGCGTAAAGCAACAGGGTAAGTGACTTCACATTAACAGTAGGTTGATATTTTCTATTTACAGCATATAAAGAACAACAAGGATACAAACAAATATGAAGGCTGGCCAGAAGTTGTTGAGATGGAAGGCTGTATCCCTCAGAAGCAAGACTAAATCAAAACAAAAGGAAAGAAGAATTAAAATGGAAGAAAATGCACTTTCTGCTGTTATTAGAGAGAGGGCTATGAAGGAGACTGTACTGTAAATAATATTTTTAAGCATGCAACCATCTTGTCAGTGTGTGCATGAGCACTGACATTTTGAATATCGGGATTATTTATTGCTAACACATAAAAATCCTTTTTGTAAATATGTTCAAAATAAACATCAAATCATTTCTAAACAGGTTTCTTAAAAGCACAGTATTTAGTTTGCCTATGGTAAATAATATCTCGTAGGTCAACTGGCTAATAAATTGCATATGCCAATAATAAATAGATCCTGACAAATGTACTGTCTTCTAATATTGCTGTGAGTATATAACCTTTGTGGAATATGTAGATTTTAGTCATAAGTTAATAAAAAGCTTTAATTTTTTTTATCCTCTGCCTTTTTAGTGGCAGCATCACTTTTTATTGAAGCTAATTGGTTTTTCTAATAACAAGTGCTCCAGAAATTTATTTTGTAGTTCCCCACCAAAACCAAATACTCTAACAAAGGAAGAAAACATGATACTTAAATACAGATATGCCACAAAAAGCACAATATGAATTATTTTTACTAGGAGGAAAACAAAAGTAAATGTATCCATAGTGTCTGCCTTCTAGCAGCAGTTTTCAGGGTACAACATTATGAACCTTTACTGCCTATGTTACATCTTATGTAAACTGAGGTAATTTGTGCTTACAGTGAGGTATTAGCAAAAGCATTGTATCTAAGGTTATGTAATGTGTAACATTCAAACTTAACTGACAATTTTCTTTTTTTTTTTTTTTTTTTTTTTCAAAGCAAAAAAATGGACCAAGTTGAAGTGGCCTTATTCTTTAGCTCATATCAGAGCTGTCAGAAAGCAGCTTTTGTTGGAAACTTCAGTTTCTTTTAAGTATGGCCCACCTGAGCTTTCACTGAAACCAAGTTAGCATGGTGTAACTGAAAGTGTTGGTATTCAAGAAATAGGGGCTGTCACAGAATAGATTATAATCTCTTGAAGTTTCATGCCATGAGTTCTGGTACAATCTTCAACAACTTCTAGCTAGTACCATGGCACAAAAACCACAAAGGATTTTTCAGGTACCCACAGCCTAAGCTGAAAACAGTGGCGATCGAATACTGTTACCATTGATGTCTTCTGAGATGGATGTGTGCACTAAAAATTTCAAGCAATATTGGGAATTGCTTTTCAAGTCAAATAACCTGTGATATCAGAGCAAGTCTGGACTCTGAATTGTTCTGTATGTTTAACTAGCTTGTTAAATAATGTGGTTTTCCCTCAAGTTTAATGTAGAACAGCAATAAAAGCACCTTATTATGGTGAAATTGTTTTTGTTAAATCTTTCAGATTTTCTTGTTTAGGAGGATGTGTCAAAATCATGTATATCTTTGTCATCAAATAAAGTAAAACCCTCATTTCTATCAATCAGAAAATAAATTTTATTTCATAACAGTAGGGTATTGTGAAAAACTGGTTTCCTAAGTCCTGGGATTTTCACATAAATACATTGGTTATGCTGCTGTCCAAAATAATAATAGAAAAAAATTTGAAGGTAGTTGGCAGGGTCTTAAGGAAAGAGAAAAACAACAACAAAAAAAAAAGTATTAATAGTTTCTTTGCACTATTGTCTTTATTCTTGATTTTGAATGTCAGTGCATATTTCATCCATCAAATTAAAAAGTTCAGATTTCCTCTGCAAAATGAAATGGGGAAGAAACAGAACTGAAATCAGACCTCTTTTAGCCCTCATCTTTAAGTTTGTGCCTTTTTTTACCCCCCAGCAATCTGAAGGAAGTAAATATATTCTGATTGTTTAACCTGCTGAAGGTGGACCTGCCACAAAACATTTAAAAACAGTTTTTAAAACAATAAACTGGTAATGTTATTTTTTGTAATTTTCCCTTAAATCCGTTGATTTTTGTGATTTTGATGGATGCACCTTGCAATTAAATTTAATTTAACTGACCAAGCAGGAAGCTTACTTCTATGGCCTCCCTAGTGTCTTCTACAGTTTGTGGGAGGATGTTGTGAGGTGTGAGGATGAAGGCATTTTGTACAAATAGCTTCATGCAAAGGTATCTGCGTGACAAAGCTCCCGGATATGTATTTTCCTACACAAGTTGATGGGAACATCTGCAGCATGTTTATGACAGCAGTGAAGGAAGGAAATAAAGATGTGGAGCATGTCTGCCTCAAAAAATGCAACTGTGAGAAGAGGGTGAGAAGACTGTGACTTCATTTTGCCCAAGGAGCACAGCTGGGATCCAAGCCTCCTGAAGACTTCGTTGCAAGCTGCAGCTCTCAACTGCTCTACTATCAGTGTTTTACGTGAAACAGACAGATGAGGCTTAAGAAAGAAGCTGAGGATCTCTGCCTTTACATATCCTCTGCATCTTCCCTAGCGTCTTTCATGATCATTGTTTTCTTGAAAGAGCAGAGGGATTAACAACTTTAGTTTCCCAAGTGCTGGTTCAGAAAAGGCTTCTCTTTGCTTGGCGTGTTGTGCTTTCCAGATGTCTTAATGTGGCACTTGATTCCCTCAGATGCTGACAAGACTTGTAAACGATTAATGTGTACATAATGGCCCCTAAACTGTTTGGATTAGCTGCAGTTTAGAAGCCAGGTGGATAAATTGGGAAGGGAAATAAAGTAATGCTACTAGCGTGTGTTGACTGACTTTCCTGTGTGCAGATGGGAAGGACTCTGTAGCCCCTCCAAAAACTGTCTGGGGTGGAGCCCAGGCTGGAAGCTGCTGGGAAGCTTTCCTGGCTATCAGCCCATTGCAGATGGAAGTGTCCCAACTAGTTCAGTCTCAGATGTGATACCATGAGATGGCAGTTGCTTCCAATGCTGTACTGAAGGTATGAGGGACCCTGCTCATTGTCCTCTGACCCGTGTACCAAAAAGGAGCAAACACTGGGGCTCAAGCACCTCCTGCTGCTGCCTCTTCCTTCTGTGGAGGAGGAACTGCATGTCAGCATGGACAAAAAAATGAAGAATGGTGAGAGAGAACATGCTTTACTTGAGATGTTTCATTAAATTTCTCATGACCTTAACTTTGGCCTCAGAACCAGGCTAGCTTAAAACCACTTGTAGTTTCACCTCTCTTTTCTTGTAGTAGTCCCTTTCATCCTTACAACCAAGATCTAATGTATCCTTCATAGACCCAGGCTAAATCAGGTTCCGCAGGTATTCTTCCTTTGCTTATGCATCCATCTAGGTAGATTTGGATCATTATAAAACCTTCTTTGCTGAAAATTAATGATTAATTCTTAGCAAACTAAAAATCGATCGTTGTCCTGCTAGGTAGGAAATCGTCTTTTTATTTTCTTCCAGGCCCTACCATTTCCGTACTAGGACATACAACCCAGTCCCTTTAATCTTGCATTTATCTTTTAAGATCTCATTCTTGTAATATTTTGTTCCCACAGAAATAAATGTCTGTTCATTTCTTAGGGTGTTGCTCATAGCAGGACACAGCATTGTTGACATGAAAAAGGCACTCCCAGCTTAGAACGGGATCACGTCTCCTCAGTGAGCTTGATGGATGGTGGCGGAAGGGCGTGCTGTATTCTGTGGGGCATAGCCTGCATTTTTTTTTCCTGTGATACAGCAATCCCTTCTGGCTAATTATCTTCTAATTATATTTCAACATTTTCTTTATCAGTACACCTTCAAGGTTCCAGATCTTGGCAGCTGAATCATCCTTTCCAAGTGGAAAAATCAGTGGGTAATGTCTTGATTTCTGGCTTTTATATCTGCACTCTCATATTTTCTCTAAAGCGCCTGACACGCATGTGGCACAACACAGATAACCTGTTTATTATCCTTTGGGGCATGTAGAAAATAAAACTTTGTTTCAAGGCTTTATTACATATATATGGAGAGGGGTGGGGATCAGCATAGAGCACTGTAATAGTCCAGGCACATTGTGTACTACGTAATATGTACATAAATCACTTCATCCTCTCCATTAACTTTCTGATCCCAAGAGACAGCCCAAAAAAGATGATTAACCATTCCTCTTGCATTACAATGCAAGATGCTTAGATTGGTTTCTTAGCATTGCAACTGTGGGACTTTGTTAGCACAGTCAGCTCAAAAAGTTACTGCTCCTGGTCACCTCCCCAAGTCCTTATCGGTGTGTTGTAGCTGAGTTTGCTGCTCCAGGCTCAGCCAAAGTTCTTGTTTGTGGTGTGTTTCCATGAAACATATTGCTAAACTGATCCACGGGCTGGGGGCAGCATGGGGTTAGGGAGGGTGAGAACATGCTCAGCCAACCCAGCAGGCAAACCAGCTGTGAAACCACAGTCAATTTTCCAAAATCAGCAAGTATAAAAGTTAACAACTTTATTCTCTAAGCTTCAGGCAATTTTTGTATTTGCTCCCGTTGGCATAATCAGCAATGACTAGCCAAAATTGTTTTTTATTTTGTTTTAAATCCCATTAGTACATTTTAAACTAACATTGATTTGTACTTTGATGTCCTCTGCATGTTGGTTCTCTTAATGATTTAGAGATTCTCTAAAAACTCAGTGTGCTAATGTCAAAATATTTTTTAGTACACAGAGATACCATAGTGTCAAGTTAATTTCTTGGATTATGGGGCTGATTGGTCTGTGCGAAAGATGTTTTAGCCATCAGCTGGTTTTGCGCTACTAGCACAAGGCACAATGGACCTTTCATCACAGACAGTAAATGATCAGCCACATAAATAATACTTAGTCTTTTATTATTTTTTTTTAAACCCCTTGTGTGGTATCAAGCTTTTGGTCTAGAAAAGTGCTTATGAAAAGTGTCATTCTGCTCCACAACAAAATACGTATACATTTTAAATGTATTTTTTTCAGGACTTTGGAGAAAATGGTAATAGAAGTCTTACCCAGTCAGAAGTTTCAGCATTTAAATTGGGACATCCTACTGCACATAAAATGTGATATTTAAAAAATAAAATATCAAAATAAGGGCTGAAAAGATGATGATTTTTGAGGAATTAACAAAGGAAATGTGCAGCTCATTTAAAATTACATTGCATAGTCACAAAAATAGCAAGGCTGAGAGGAAAATAACACGGCCAAACCCTGAGATAGGCTCTGATCATCTAGCTGAGATGAGGATGCATGCCTGTTTGCTGGCTCGGAATCAGCAAGGCATTTCAGAAGGTATATGGCACTCTTGTAATGAATCTCTGTATCTTTTCCCAGTTCAATTAATGCATCTAAAATCCACGTATGTGTCCATTTTAGCTACCCTATCTCTATTACACTGCTTTGCTGCACAAACAAGGTGGCAGCTACCTTCTACAGAAATCAGCCCTGGCATCCCGCTTCCAGCCTGTGCTGGAGGCTTCACCAGGCAGTGTTATCTGGTGGCTGAAATAAATCGCAGCGTCATAGCCCTGTCTGCCACCACGCTTTCAGCCCTGCAGTGCTGACAGAGTGGCCAGAGAGGATTAATTGTCATTTCATTCTCTGCTGAGTAAACCATCCATTAGTTAACAGAGCTGTGTGTGGGATTACATTGTTGTCAGTTCAGTGTGACAGAGGAACCTGGGACAGGCATTAAGTGCTTAGTGTGATGTATTTTAGCATTAGTATTTCGTATTAGTAAGTAATTTAACATTAATTATCTCTAGCATTCATTTAACATGGAGTTCACAAATGTCATTCCCTTCAGATGAATTTATCATTTATGAAGGGAAAAAAGCATATTCACCTTCCAGAAACAGAAACCCCAAGAGTCCATGTTTAGGAAACACAATTATCCAACTGATTATTGTAGTTTTTGCCTATCCTTCAACACTGCACTGAGCTCTACAGCAGCACTGGCCCAGCAGCCACTACTGGGAGGGTTTCTGTGTAGTCCTGGCTGGCAAACCACAGATTTCAAACTATATGAGTTGAGAAGCAAATGCAATGATCAGATAGCTGAAGCATTAGGTTCGTAATCAGGAGACCTACCTATTTAAAAAAAAAAAAATACCCAGGTCTGTCACTGATTTTTTAAGTGACTGTGAACAAGTCCTTGGCCCACAAATTCCCATTTGGAGTCAGAAAACTGCTACTACTTCCCCTCCTTAGGTATGCTCATTGGAGGCAGAGGTGCAAAGCCCTGCTTCTCAGCTAGGTGTTAGCTATCACCTGAGCATGAAATACACTGTGCTAGTTCACCAAAAGTGAAAAAAAATGTGAGGTTATTTAAAATCCTAAACATCATTATTGCAAATCTGTGTGTGAAACAAGAAGCAGTCATGACACCACATGCACTGTTGCTAGTGTTAGTGGACTGGGGTACTCTGGGTCACCCAGCAGGATACAGTTAGGAAAGGAATCACAGTTAGCATCTTTGGCAGGTTATCTAGAAAAAATAATAATAACATTTATTCCACCCTGCTAGTTTAAAATGACTGACTTTAGAAGTGGGAGAAC